TCTAAAATAACATTTTCTTTGTTCATCAGTCACATCTCCAAGCCCCTCTGATATTACTCTTACTTTCTATTTTGAATTTTTATTCAAACAAAAAATAGAAGATTTACTGTTATGCAGACTACTGCAATACTGTAATAATTGTATAAATAACATCAACCCATTCATGACTGCATATTAGAATGGGTAGTTGGACATTTATTGGACAATGACATCATTTGCTTACTTTTGAACATTGGCAAAAATCAAACATTTCCCCTAATTTGAGCTCCATTTCCAGGTTCTTTTTATAGTAAAATCAATCAAAATCACCTCTATTTCTATAATATGTTTTCCATTCTATCAAATGAGACCAAGAAAACGAGAATACAACCATAAATACTATACGAAAATAGACCACAAATTCGGCATTTTAATTAAAAAAAAGGGTCGGATTTTTTTTTTCTCATTATGCACTGCATGCTCCAGGATTTTTTTTATATGGTGCACACTGACCACACAGACCCATTTTCTCACATGTGGGCCTACCAGCTTTCTACTGCTTGATTTGAAGCCGCTAGAATTTTTTTTATTATCACACCGGCCGATTCCCACCAAGGCAGGGTGGCCCGAAAAAGAAAAACTTTCACCATCATTCACTCCATCACTGTCTTGCCAGAAGGGTGCTTTACACTACAGTTTTTAAACTGCAACATTAACACCCCTCCTTCAGAGTGCAGGCACTGTACTTCCCATCTCCAGGACTCAAGTCCGGCCTGCCGGTTTCCCTGAATCCCTTCATAAATGTTACTTTGCTCACACTCCAACAGCACGTCAAGTATTAAAAACCATTTGTCTCCATTCACTCCTATCAAACACGCTCAAGCATGCCTGCTGGAAGTCCAAGCCCCTCGCACACAAAACCTCCTTTACCCCCTCCCTCCAACCCTTCCTAGGCCGACCCCTACCCCGCCTTCCTTCCACTACAGACTGATACACTCTTGAAGTCATTCTGTTTCGCTCCATTCTCTCTACATGTCCGAAACCACCCAACAACCCTTCCTCAGCCCTCTGGACAACAGTTTTGGTAATCCCGCACCTCCTCCTAACTTCCAAACTACGAATTCTCTGCATTATATTCACACCACACATTGCCCTCAGACATGACATCTCCACTGCCTCCAGCCTTCTCCTCGCTGCAACATTCATCACCCACGCTTCACACCCATATAAGAGCGTTGGTAAAACTATACTCTCATACATTCCCCTCTTTGCCTCCAAGGACAAAGTTCTTTGTCTCCACAGACTCCTAAGTGCACCACTCACTCTTTTTTCCCTCATCAATTCTATGATTCACCTCATCTTTCATAGACCCATCCGCGGGACACGTCCACTCCCAAATATCTGAATACGTTCACCTCCTCCATACTCTCTCCCTCCAATCTGATATTCAATCTTTCATCACCTAATCTTTTTGTTATCCTCATAACCTTACTCTTCCTGTATTCACCTTAATTTTCTTCTTTTGCACACCCTACCAAATTCATCCACCAATCTCTGCAACTTCTCTTCAGAATCTCCCAAGAGCACAGTGTCATCAGCAAAGAGCAGCTGTGACAACTCCCACTTTGTGTGTGATTCTTTATCTTTTAACTCCACGCCTCTTGCCAAGACCCTCGCATTTACTTCTCTTACAACCCCATCTATAAATATATTAAACAACCACGGTGACATCACAAAATCCTTGTCTAAGGCCTACTTTTACTGGGAAAAATTTCCCTTTTTCCCTACATACTCTAACTTGAGCCTCACTATCCTCGTAAAAACTCTTCACTGCTTTCAGTAACCTACCTCTACACCATACACTTGCAACATCTGCCACATTGCCCCCCTATCCACCCTGTCATACGCCTTTTCCAAATCCATAAATGCCACAAAGACCTCTTTAGCCTTATCTAAATACTGTTCACTTATATGTTTCACTGTAAACACCTGGTCCACACACCCCCTACCTTTCCTAAAGCCTCCTTGTTCATCTGCTATCCTATTCTCCGTCTTACTCTTAATTCTTTCAATTATAACTCTACCATACACTTTACCAGGTACACTCAACAGACTTATCCCCCTATAATTTTTGCACTCTCTTTTATCCCCTTTGCCTTTATACAAAGGAACTATGCATGCTCTCTGCCAATCCTAGGTACCTTACCCTCTTCCATACATTTATTAAACAATTTCACCAACCACTCCAAAACTATATCCCCACCTGCTTTTAACATTTCTATCTTTATCCCATCAATCCGGCTGCCTTACCCCCTTTCATTTTACCTACTGCCTCACGAACTTCCCCCACACTCACAACTGGCTCTTCCTCACTCCTACAAGATGTTATTCCTCCTTGCCCTATACACGAAATCACAGCTTCCCTATCTTCATCAACATTTAACAATTCCTCAAAATATTCCTTCCATTTTCCCCAATACCTCTAACTCTCCATTTAATAACTCTCCTCTCCTATTTTTAACTGACAAATCCATTTGTTCTCTAGGCTTTCTTAACTTGTTAATCTCACTCCAAAACTTTTTCTTATTTTCAACAAAATTTGTTGATAACATCTCACCCACTCTCTCATTTGCTCTCTTTTTACATTGCTTCACCACTCTCTTAACCTCTCTCTTTTTCTCCATATACTCTTCCCTCCTTGCATCACTTCTACTTTGTAAAAACTTCTCATATGCTAACTTTTTCTCCCTTACTACTCTCTTTACATCATCATTCCACCAATCGCTCCTCTTCCCTCCTGCACCCACTTTCCTGTAACCACAAACTTCTGCTGAACACTCTAACACTACATTTTTTAAACCTACCCCCTACCTCTTCGACCCCATTGCCTATGCTCTCATTAGCCCATCTATCCTCCAATAGCTGTTTATATCTTACCCTAACTGCCTCCTCTTTTAGTTTATAAACCTTCACTCTCTCTTCCCTGATGCTTCTATTCTCCTTGTATCCCATCTACCTTTTACTCTCAGTGTAGCTACAACTAGAAAGTGATCTGATATATCTGTGGCCCCTCTATAAACATGTACATCCTGAAGTCTACTCAACAGTCTTTTATCTACCAATACATAATCCAACAAACTACTGTCATTCGCCCTACATCATATCGTGTATACTTATTTATCCTCTTTTTCTTAAAATATGTATTACCTATAACTAAACCCCTTTCTATACAAAGTTCAATCAAAGGGCTCCCATTTATCATTTACACCTGGCACCCCAAACTTACCTACCCCACCCCTCTCTAAAGTTTCTCCTACTTTAGCATTCAGTCCCCTACCACAATTACTCTCTCACTTGGTTCAAAGGCTCCTATACATTCACTTAACATCTCCCAAAATCTCTCTCTCATCCTCTGCATTCCTCTCTTCTCCAGTGCATACACGCTTATTATGACCCACTTCTCGCATCCAACCTTTACTTTAATCCACATAATTCTTGAATTTACACATTCATATTCTCTTTTCTCCTTCCATAACTGATCCCTTTAACATTATTTGCTCCCCCTTCCTTTGTTTCCTAACTCTCTCGGGTACTCCAGTTTTTAACCCCTTTTTTTTCCCCCCCAAACTAAAAATCTCCTACCCCCTTCCTTTGTTTCGCTTGGGGGCCAGGCCATCAACTTCTTTTCATTCATAACATAAGCAATCATTGTTTCTTTTCATCCGCACTAAACCCACTAATCCGCTAAAATTTTTGGGGAGTATATATACGTAAAAAATGGTACCTCGTAAGATGTTTTTATTTACGACCTCGACAGTCAAGGGTTTTTTAAATCCTTTTTCCCTTTATAAGCTTTTTGCTGGCGTTTGGGGGACAGTGAGGAGGGGACAGGGAGGAGAGGTTATCTCTACCCCCATTACAAATCCCTCAAACCACTCTCTCCCACTATCACTAAGCCCTTACCCCCTTCACTACCACCCTTTTTCCCCCACCACTACCACCCTTTCCCCTATCACTCCCCCCCTCTACCACTATCACTACCACCCCCTACCACAATTTACTACCCCCCCTCTTTCCACATTCATTACCACCCTCTATTTCCATCCCTACCACCCCTTCCCCCATCACTACCACCATCAGTATCACCCTCTACCACAATCCTACCCTCCCCTTTCCTTTTATCACCCCCTTCTACCACCCTTTACTAACCCTTTCCTTTTACCAAAAGTCCCCAAACCCCCACCAACCCCCTACCAACCAAAACAAAAAACTACCCCTCTTCCACCCTCAAACCACACCCCCCTCTACCACCACTACCACCCTCTGTGAGTAACAAAGGCAGATTGAGTCACGTACGTGAGCAGGGCTGCGTCTCATATGGACGATTTCCAAGTGGAGGTACAAAATCCGGGGCAAAAATTTGCTGGGAAAAGTGGTCGAAATCCGAATTGCATGAGATCTGGACCACACGAAAACTGGGGGTCCACTGCATAGTTATACTAACACTCTTAGATGGGTGCGAAGCATGGGTGGTGAATGTTGCAACGAGAAGAAGGCTGGAGGCAGTGGAGATGCCGTGTCTGAGGGCAATGTGTGGTGTGAATATAATGCAGAGAATTCATAGTTTGGAAATTAGGAGGAGGTGCGGGATTACCAAAACTATTATCCAGAGGGCTGAGGAAGGGTTGTTGAAGTGCTTCGGACATGTAGAGAGAGTGGAACAAAATAGAATGACTTAGAGAGTGTATAAATATGTAGTGGGGGAAAGGTGGGGTAGAGGTCAGCCTAGGAAAGGTTGGAGGGAAGGGATAAAGGAGGTTTAGTGTGTGAGGGGCTTGGACTTCCAGCAAGCATGCCTGAGCGTGTTAGATAGGAGCGAATGGAGACAAATGATTTTTAGGACTTGATGTACTGTTGGAGTATGAGCAGCATGTAATACTAGATAATTATTTCAACCATAAAATTATTTTTGAGAAGTATATACTTTAATCCTACATTTTAATCTAATAACAATTACTAACCTGAACCAGAAACTGTACTCCTGGCTTGCCACCTTGAGCCAAGCCAACAGGAAAATTGCTGTTCCACAAGTCTCCTTCTATTACATTTCGAACAGTGTTGAGTGTCTTCACCTGTTGAGGGAAGGTAACACATTAAATTTCATTATCATTAAAAAATAACAAGTGATGGTATTTAAAGTTTCCTTAACAAAGCTCTTAATGTTTTTTTGTTTTGCACTGCTGACCGTTTTTCACCAAGGTAGTGAGACCCAGAGAAGGAAGCACAGTCATCAGCACTCATTTCAAAAAAAGAACGGACATCATAATTCAAATGGCCCTCTAAACCAATAGTCCCCAACCTTTTAGTATGAAGGGGCCAATTTGGAAAGCTAAGTTTAGAGGAGGGTCACGTTTTGTAATTTTTGTAGTTTTTATGAATAATAACCATATTTTGTAATTACTGACACTGTGCAGTTTGGAACCTAAATAAAAATGAATTCATTTCCTAGAAGGGCCACATGTGGCCCTCAGGCCACAGGTTGGGGACCCCTGCTCAAAACTACATCCTTGCACATCTTTCAGAGTGTAGACATGGCGGTTTCCTCTCCAAAATTCAGGTACAGTTTTACATCAATGTTAAAAACATTGCAGTCTTCAAATCATGTAGTATAATGGGAATCAAACCTGGGCCTGGAGTGCAGGTGTCTCCCATACAACAGTACCAGATGTACTAAAAACAAGTAATGCATTATAACTAGTTTGTAACCTAACACACATGAAAATATTTGATTCTTAACCCTTTGACTGTCGCAACCCCAAATCCTGAAGTGTCTCTTTGTGTCACAAAATATTTGAAATTTTTTTTTCTTGTGAAATGATAGAGAATCTTTACCCGATGGTAATGACACCAAAAGTACGAGATTTGATGGAAAGCTTACGAAATTATGCTCTCGCAAAGTTAGCATTCTTGGTGATATACAGTATGTGCATCAGTGATTTCACCCACTTTGAGCCCTATTTTCGGCCAATTCCATTGTTCCAGTTCACCAAACTCATAGCTATTTCTTTAGAACTCCATTTGTTCTATTGAGTACAAGAAACTGCCCATTTACCGATTTCAACTATACAATAACGTGGTCAGAAATTGGTAATTTTGGCAATTTCATGACATACAAAAAAAGATGCCAATTTCAAAATAGGGTCCAGAATAAACAACGCAGACATTCCTGGTACTAAAAACATTTTCTCTGTTCATTAGTCACCTCTCCATGCCCCTCTTATACTCTTGCTTTCAATTTTGAATTTTTATTCACACAAAAAATAGAAGATTTACTGTTATGCAGACTACTGTATTATTGTAATAATTGTATAAATAATGTCAACCCATTCGTGACTGCATATTAGAATGGCTAATTGAACATGTATTGGATGGCAAATTCATTTGTTTACTCTTGAACATTGGCAAAAATCAAACATTTCCGCTATTTTGAGCTCAATTTCAAGGTCGTTTTCATTGTGAAACCAATCAAAATCATCTCTATTTCTGTAACATGTCTTGCATTCTATTAAATGAGACAAAGAAAACAAGAATACAACCATAAATACTATACGAAAATACACCTCAAAGTTGACGTTTTAATACAACCATCAACTTCAGTACCAGAACCTCTACCATCCACCTCAGCCCAGTAGGGCCACAGCATAATTCTTCACAATCATCAACAAACACCAGCGCCCACAATTTAAGGGAAGAAATACTATTATTTCTGTTGCAGTTATAGTCTTAACCCTTTCAGGGTCCGTCCCGTAGATCTACGGCTTTACGTTCAGGGTCCAAACCGTAGATCTACGTCATGAGCTCAGCTCACTCTGATAAACTGTGAGTGGTACATTTGGGCCTAGATATGAGAGAATACATCTATGTGGTATGTGTGCACCACATAAAACAGATCCTGCAGCACACTGTGTATAAGGAGAGAAAATAAACTGGAAAAATCATGATTTTAAGATTAAAACAGCGACTTTGCGTGTTTTTTTGTATGTTTTTTTATAGTGTTATTTGCGATTTCTTGGTCTCAATTGATAGAATGGAAGAAATATTACAGAAATAGAGATGATTTTGATTGGTTTTTTAGTACTGGAAATGGCTTGAAACTGAGCTCAAAGTAGCAGAAATGTTAATGTTTTGACGAAATTAAAGAACAAGAGATAAACAAAGACCTCACACATTCTAATACACTTCCTGCTGTGGGTCTAATATACATTTCACTAATATGGTGTTGATTTTTATACAATTATTACAGTTATGCATAAACTGTAAATCTTTATTTTTTGGTTGTGAATTAAAAAATTTCATAATGTGAATAAAAAAAATCAAAATGGAATTTATTTGTAAAGCCTCAAAACTTAACTAATGAACAGAGGAAATGTTAGTTTAGTTCCAGGATTATCTTACATTGTTTATTCTGGACACTATTTTGATAATTGGGAGAATATTTTGAACTTTGTGTTAATTTGGCCAATATTAACAATTTCGATCACTTTATTTTGTAGTTGAAACAGTTGACTTGGCGTTTATGTGCTCTATCGATAGAATAGAAAGTAATACTAGTGAATTAGCTAAGAATTTGTTGACTGGGATAATGTAATTGGCTAAACTGGAGGTCAAAGTCGGCCAACAAAATTGCCGATCGTAAATATCGCAGAACATAAATTCGCGAGAGCATATTTATCGTCCCAATTTTCCATCAAATTTCGCACTTTTTGTTTTATTTCCTCACTAAAGCGATTCTCTACCATTTCATAAGAAAAAAATAACAAAATTTTTTTTTTGAATTCTTGGCACTGGGGCACAACTTAGTTGGGCCTTGGACCCGGAAGGGGTTAAGCACCAAAAACAATTATATTATATCACGACAATGAACTCCAATTTATTACGTGAACCCACGCCGTACGGATATTAATCGTTCCTGAGAGAATCATGTTAAGCCGGAAATTATTGTTAGCCAAAATTAATTTCCATAAGTCAATAAAGGAATCAAATTAATCCGTTCCTGATACCCCAAAGTTATGAAATTTTTTTTTTTACAACACACCATGAAATAATAATTTTAATTACACACAAACTGAGATGACATGCACATATTACTACTCATACTAAGAACAGAATACATGACACTTCCTTTTATTGAAGATATCTGGTGATGATTAATGGGATGGGAGGAGGGTGAAAGTGTGGAGAAGTTATTGTTTAGAAGGGAATCCCTTCCATTAGGACTTGAGGTAGCAAGTCCTGAGACCCAAGTTGTTGGGGGTTACTTCCTTCTTCTTTATTGCAACTTGGACCGCTTCAGGGTCACTGGACCTCTGTCGCACACAATCTCTCCATTGAACTCTGTACCTCCCGTTCCTTTAAGACTTTCCTAAAATGGGCCATAACATTGTCATTGTACAGGTTGCCAACACGGCTTGCAGTAGCTGTGTCAGGGTGATTTTCATTTGTAAAGGTTTGCAGTTCAACCCACTTTGCACACATTTCCTAAATCTCTTTTTTCAATTCCATACTAATTCTCGCCCTTTATACCAAAAGGATGGCACTAGAAGCTTTCTTGGGGTCCATGGTGACTTATTTTGCAGTTACAAGCATTAAAAACACTGGGATAATGTGAAATGTATCGAATATATGCATAGATGCGTGGGACGCGTCCTGGACGAATCATGTAAGGCGAGTTTTTTATCGTGAGGCGAGGCAAAATTTTTGCGTTCAAATGCTTCATATGGCGGATTTAACGTAACGCGATGCGTTCTTAAGGCGGGGGTCCACTGTATTCACTTTTATTTTTGTAAGATCGGGAGGTCTAAAAAAAGTTGTTTGAGGGGAAGCTCACATCCTGAATTTTTGCTTGTATCCAGAAACAAAAAATCAACCAAGCGACTGTTTGTATCCTGAAAAACTCATGTGGTGGGGCACTTGTAAGCCGAGGGGTTCACTTTAATTGGTTATAAACATGTTTAAACAACCCACACTGCCTTCCCCATGACCCACAGTGTCTTCCCCACTAACCATACTGTCTTCCCCACCACTCACATGGAAATAAGTCACTTTGTCCGACTTTTTTGGGTTATCCTAGGAAATCTACACATATATTTGATGGGTTTACACAAACCCATGATGCCATTCCCACCAACCATGCTGCTTCCACGACCCACCAATTGGCCTTTCCCCACCCAACCATGCTGTCATCTCACCACCCACACGCGGAAATAAGGTCACTTTGACTTTTTTGGTTATCCTAGGTAATCTACACCAATTGCTGCTATGTATGATAATCTATGTCCTGTATTTGTGTTACTTGATATAAACTTAGTTTTCTTTGAGGGACATTGGGAAAAATATGTGTATCCTCTTCTGCTGTGGTAAAGTGAAATGAATGGGATGGCCCAGCTTCAGAGGTGGAAGGTTGTGATTGTCTGCATTTTCAGCACTTTATCTGGTCATCCTGGACTGTGCTTTCAGTCGCAAAATTCCTAATAAACAATGAGATCATCTTCCTGCAATTCAAATCTGTAATGTCAGAATTTTATTTGCGAAGGGAGAGTCCCATTTCGCCGAAAGTGTGAGGGTATTTCTTACTGCTAGGATTGGTGACCAAGATGATTAAACCCTTTGACTATTTTGGTCAATATATACGTCTTACGTTGCCACCGTTTTGAACGCTATATATACTCATAATTTCTAGCAGCTTCAAATCAGCAGGAGAAAGCTGGTAGGCCCACATGAGAAGAGAATGGGTCTGTGTGGTCAGTTTCCACAATATAATAAAAATCCGCAGCATGCAGTGCATGAGAAAAAATAACAACTGACCGTTTTTTTTTAATTAATATGCCAACTTTTGTGGGTCTATTTTCGTATAGTATTTATGGTTGAATCTCATTTTCTTGCGTCTTATTTGTAGAATGGAAAAACATATTATAGAAAATAGAGTGATTTTGATTGGTTTTACTATGAAGAACCTTGAAATGGTGTCTCAAAGTAGGGGAAATGTTTTGATTTTTGCCGATGTTCAAAAGTAAACAAATGATGTCATTTTCCAATAAATGTCCAAGTAGTCATTCTAATATGCAGTCATGAA